AGGGTCATGGCTTCAGGTGGGTTCCATCTTCGGGTACGAGACATGGAGAGACTCAAACCACCATCCAGCAGCGCCGTCATGGAGACGGTGCCGGGAGCCTGAGCCTTCCCCTTGGCACGTCCCACCCAAAGCTTCACCTACACTCCAGGAAAGTGCTTCTCCACTTCCTTACGAGTTACCTGGTCCGTGAACAACCTTCCTGAATGCCCCCGGGCACGGGATTCCTCCAAAGGATCCCTCTGCCCCAGGTGAAGCATTTCTCACTACAGCTTGCTCTTGTCAGAAGGTTGGGGAGAGGGAGAAGACAGATGCCGAGTTCTTTTTAGTGCCTTTAGTTTCTATTTGCCCTGACCTCTGTGAAGCTAGAAACCCCCCAAGTGCCGCTCACCGTGCTGAGCCGGGGTGTGCGAGCCAGGCTGCGTGCGTTGCGTGGTGCGCTGGGGCAGCCAGCAGCCTCACAGGCGGGGGGGTTAAATCCACAGCCCACGCAGCTGTGTGGTTTGAAACCCTGATCACAGCCGTAAAAAACCCCGATGTGTGCTGCAACAAACACCGTGGCTGCTGGCTGGCACTTACTGGATATTACATGAGAAAGCCTAATGACTACTAGCACTTTGTAACTAAGGGTAAAACTGTTGGTTGGTTTGGTTGGTTGGTTGGTTGGTTGTTTTTTTCCCCTCTAACCCAGCTCCAGGCAGGTGGGTTGCAGGGAGGCTCAGAGACACCAGGCAGCAGCGCCTGCTCCAGCGCTTCGACCTCGCCAAGCACACAGCCTGCGCCAATTATCCCCTTGAATTGGTGATGAGGAGTATTTTTCTCAATATTCCAGCAGCCAGGACTGCAGGGAACACTTGTCAGTTAAAAGGATGGAAGGAGAGGTGAGCGGAGGAGCAGAGCACAGGCAGTGCAGCTGTAATGGCCCTGTGTCAGCTCAGGGTTTTTAGACTGATGGCCAGTCTGAAGGCATTTTATTTAAATAAGTTTTGATAAATGGAGAAAAACTCCTAATTTTTTTTTTTTTTTTTTTCCTAAATAAAAACCAAAACCTGCCTAGCTGGGGGTTTAGGACAAAACCTGTGAGGAAGGAAAGGGGAACTAAACCCTGGCTGACCCCTTGAGGCAGGGTGGACACAGAGGCTGGTCCGCAGGTGGGGCACTGGGGAAAACCCACCCCAGGGCAGATGGGCGACCTCACAAAGCGCCTGCCCTGAGCCACGCTCCCCGCGGCCGGGGAGAGTGCAGAGCCCTTCAGCAGAGCCCCCGGCCCCCCCTCCAGTGCCGCGCACGCCTGCGTGCCCCCGGGTGACCCTCCCCGGGGCTCTGGAGCGGCTCCCCCCGGGTTTGGGGATGGGGGTGTCCCCGCTGTGCGCTGAGCCGCCGTGCAGCGCTGCCGCGCAGGCTTCAGGCGGCAGCTCCTCACGTGCAGCGAGCTGCCCTGGCCTCCCATCCCTGCCAGGCTCTGGGTTTACTTTGATATTTTATCCCTCTAAGGCTTCTCTAATCTGTTTTATTTCCTTCTATCGTAGGAATAATCCTTTATGTAAGCACACCTTCTGCAGCTGGAGGCCTCGTTTCACTCGGAGCGGATTAACTTTGCAGGACTATCCCTTGTGATGCACAGGTGATTTTATTTTTTAAGTCTTTGTTTAGTTTCTCTAGAGGTTGTTTTTTTTTTCCCCCTAAGGTTTAGCTGCTGCACAAACATGAGACTTTTGTCTTTCACAGGAAGTTAACCTTGATCACACATGTAAGGCAGTGCTTCGAAAGGGTATTTAGGTACATAAAGTTCTTAAGAGGTTAAGTCCTCTGAGTGAGTTTCACTAGAAGTGAAGCATTTTGCCTGCTGAACTGCTTTTGAACAACTGCACAAGGTGCCTAGTTCATATTTTGACATCTAAATACATTCCAATATTTACCCTTTGGGGCCTGCTCCATGCTAGGTACCTGTTATTATATTTCAGTTTTCTAGGTCAGAAGGCTTTGGGAGTGATAAAAATCTAATAATTACATTAATGCAAAAAAAAAAAAATTCAAAAACTTTAAGAACAATTTTTTTAACCCAGGCTTCTTAAGAACTTTTACTAAGTGTATTTTTGTGGTGAGATAAAAGCATATTTTTGAGAACTACCCGATACAGAAGAGAACATTTGCCTACTTGATTTTACTGGCAGAACAAACCAAACAGCGGAGCTGTGGTGATGTCAGAGGTCACAAAGCATGAGTCAGACTCTCTAAAAAAGCCTGGTTTTTCTTGAAGAAAAAAAACAAACCAAAGAAAACAACTGCCAAACAACTCCCTCGCCACAATGCAATGTTTTGGATTTGCCCCTCAGTTCTCTTATCAGGCCCCCGGGGGTGTGAAAGACTCGCCAGCTCTCGGGGACCCGTGGGAGGCGGCTCAGCCCCCCCCGATGGGGACCCCAGCCTCTGTCCCCAGCAGTACGGGCGCCTCGGCGGCCCCTGCAGCACCCCACAACAGCAGCCTGCACCCACACCTGCCCCGGGAGCCAGGGGACACTCGCCACCGCTGGAGGAGGAGGAAGGAGCCCCAGGAGCCTGCACCCACTTGCCAGACAAAGGCGCACAAGGCGCAGAGGAAGCAAACAGCAAAGCCAGCGGCACAGCAAGCTGGAGCCTTTATCTGCTCCATCGTCCCCGGGGGAGGGTTTCGGGTCCTGCCGGGGACCCCCAGGTGGGCGTGTGGGCCCCCCCCCGAGCTCCCCCCGAGCCGCTCGCTGCCAGCAGCCACTTGGCTGGAGGTGCCGGGCGGGCACCGGGCTGCTGGTCCCAGAGGCAGGAGCACGGCGAGGGAGCGGCGGCTCTCGCCAGGCGGGTCCCCTGGGGATGTGCCTGGTGCTCGCGTCCCTCGGGCACCGCGGGGCCTGGTCAGTGTCCAGGCGCTGCTGGGCACTTGTTCAGGAGGTTTTCATGAGCTTGGAGGAGTTATTTTACCCTTGAAGACGACACCTACTCGTTCAGGTACACACCCCAAGCTGCAAGACACCCTGTCTTTGCCAAAAATTACTGTTATTTACATATACCTTGAGAATATGTAGCAGATGAAAAGCACAAACGGCCTTCAGGACCCAAGGCTGTTGCTAAAAGCTGTTGCACAACAAGCGTTTGCAGCACCTGAGGTGTGGAGTCTCCTGCTCTGACACCAGGCACTTCCAGCTGAGCCCCGTGTGCTCAGGCCCCCGCCCTGGGCGGCAGCTGGTACCATTCAAGAAATCAGAGCTTTGCGGTGGCAGCAACAATCATTCAAGAAAATGATTTTTTAGAAGAGCAGATGTTTCTGTGAAGGACAGGCTGTGCAATCTTTTCCAAGTTTTGCCTTCAGTTTCGAAAATCTGAAAGCATTGTATCATTGGCAAGAACTGCCTTATTCATTGAAACAAGTACAGATCTGATGTCTGCTTAATTGGTTTATTTTTTACTCAAAGCAAGAAAATATCTAGCGGAAGGTACATGCATCTCTGAATTTTCAACCAGCATCACGATTTTTCATGATGCGAGTTTCCTCATACTAATGAGTTAGTGGAACGAATAACCCTCCTCTCTTAATTACTGGCTTTTTGTCACAGTTAGTTATGGAATGTAAAACCAAAATGGGTCACTAGGTAACTCCCCCCTTCTTGTAAGTGCCTCAAGATGTATCTTTCTAAAAGCAATCCTTTTAATTGCTGGAAACTCCTAAAATGCAATTTAACTAGTACAACTGCAAGTGCTTAAACGTAACGGTGAGAACAACTTCCCACTCTTCCAAGAAACTGAAATTTTAATTTAAAATTACTCTAAGCAGGTTTCACTGCTTCCATTTTTAAAAACCTAAAGTAAGGAACACCCCTGGTTTCTATTTCCTCATAAGAGGGTTTTTTTTCTGTCCACCTTACACCTTATATCGGAACTCCTACTTTTCCTTGAGAGACGAGGCCGGTACAAGCTGGGGGGTGAGTGCTCGTTAGAGCAAAGCTGCCGTCGGTGGTTTTGTTTCACTGGGAGGTGGGAGCCAGCGCAGGTGGGGGAGCGGGTTCCCTTGTTCACGTCAAGGGCTCCTCGACAGGCACCTCCGGGTTTTCCCCCGGGGAAGAGAAGGGGCAGTGCAGAGCCTGGCGTGCGTTTGGGGGTCGGGGGGTGTTACAGTGAGGGTTAAATCGGGTCTCCAGAACGACAGTAAATTTTCCTGTTTCACAGAGCCAGCGCAGCCCAGGAGCTCCAGCGAGCACTTGAACAGGGAACTTCTGCTCGGCCCCCACTGCCCAAAGGTTCACTTGCCTTGGAGCACGAAATGAAATTGTGAACTACAAGGCAGAGACTGAAGAAGCTATTTCATGTGAGCACGAGATGGTGCCTGATTTAATAACCGCTTCCGAGCAGAAATAAAGGCCCAGATCAGCTCATGAAATCTGGGGAACTTGGGGAGAATGCACAGCAGTTACTCAGCAGAAAAAATTGGCTTCAGATATTAAGTATTTGGACACCAACTGCATCTCCCTCATTGTGTCTTGTGAATTCACACCTCAGCCCTTCAGGTAGGAAATGTTACTTAAATTTTACTTGGTTTAAAGTAACGTGAAACCAATTTCTGATAAGCTTACAGGCAAAGGGACTACAAGCTCATTAATACTTACATTATTTAGTCTACAAATTGTTCCAGTCATTGGCTTTTAAAGTCAACAGTGATCATCAGAGATCCTTCTAGACAGAGCCAGCATTAAACAAAAGCCTAGAGCAACTTGGGAATTTTCAAAGTGCTTTTGCAGCATAACTTTGTGTGTGTAGTGTAGCTCAGTAATGAATTCCATGGGTTGATTCTCCTCTGGGCTGAAGATGGAGAACAGCTGATGAAAGCCCTAAATCAAATACAGGCATTACCTTAAAAGACAAGAACCAGACCACTCTTAAGTTTAAAAAAACCAAACGTGTTGGATTTTATTATTTTTAGACCATTAAAAAAAAAAAAGGGTTTAAAAAACCATTACCATCTGACATACCCACTATTCTGTAAAATCATCCTAGTTTATTGAAGCATACGCATCATGTGTTCTCTTACAGTTGGGAAGTCACGGGACAGCTTGTATCTGCAGTTAACAGTATTTTTCTCTTCAGTAGGGCTTCTGCTTATACAGGGCAAAACGGGGCATTTTTAGTGCATCTGTAGAGTTCCCAGAGGTTTGGAAAGCTCAGGGCAAGCAAAAGTGGGTTTTACCATTTGTGCCATAACAGCGACCGCCTGCTCAGAACACGGGCGTGTTTAAACACTCTCCTGCTCTGTACTTTGCCATCTCTGGCTGAGGTCACACCAGAATAGCGTAGTAGCAGATAAAGGAGTTTGGTAAAGAGAGCAAAGACTCTTGTCGAAAAGAATCCTGCATCACAGAACCAAACCCCTGGGGTACAGCCTTTACTTCACGGGGACGATGCTCAGCCCTTTGGGGTCGGATCTGAAACGCCGCGTGCAGAACACGAGCTGCAGAACAGCTACTCCGAAAAGACAACAAATATTACACCCCCCCCCCCCCTTCCAGCCGCGGGGCTGCTGTGGCCCGGTTTGGTTTCGGCAGGTGGGGGAGATGCTCTGGGCTACCCCCAGCTCGGGCATCCAGCCTTCGCTTCATGGCCACGCCAGCGCCCAGGCGCCTCAGGCACCCGCCAACCTCTCGAGAGCGCGAGTGCCCAGCAGCCCGGGCACCGCGCGGCGCCGAGCCGGCACCCCGGGGCAGCCGGTCCCTCCGCAGAGCCAGGGGCCGGAGCCCACGCAGCCCTCGGGCCCACGCGGTCCCTGTGCTCGTGTCCCAGGAGGGGAGACGGCCCCACTTCCAGGAGGAAACCCCGCCCAGCGCTGGCTTTGGAGGGCAGGAATCCCAAGCAACAGGAAGTACCTCTCCACGTTGTAACAGCTGTGTTGAGACACGAGGGTTTCTTTTCTGTCTGCTGCAAGATGCCCTTTGCCTCTGAAGGCCCCTTTAATTCGCTAAGCTGATCATCTGACACGTTACTAGAAGCCAGCATCCTTTGGAGACAAGTGATACAGGCAAGGGAGATACAAAAGCCGCGCAGCACATTCTGAAATCAAAACAGTATTTCATTAAAAAGAGACACATGAACTGAGTCAATATTTATTCTTTCTTCTCACTATCCTCAGCGATAGGGTCTGCAGGAGGCTCTTCAACCGTCGCGCTGTTGCTCTCTGACCCAGTGTTGCTGTCACTGGTTCCCTCCTCTGCAGTGCTATCGACCCCTTCTTGGCCACTCTCCTTATCATCCGGGGTGGATGTTCCCTCTTCACCATTCTGCTGGTTTTCTGTGCTCTCTTCGGGGTGAGGCTCTTCTGCAATAAGATATTTCTCAGTGTCATTTGCATGCCAATACATTCGTTTAGCTTGTGCAATTAGAATTTAGGAAGCAACAGGACCTGTGAAAAACCCGGGCGTTCCAGAGCAGTTATTTCCGTCAGGCAGAGGGCGCAGCCCGAGGCACCGCTGACAGACCTCGCGGTGCTTGGGGCGGACGCGGTGCTGCCCCAGCGTCCCCTGCCTGACCTCACCAGCTGAGCCACAAGCAAGCAACGTGCCTTGTTACACCAGAACTCACTAGAATTCAAACGCCTTGGCCTCCTTTCCCTTACGCTCATGCTGTTACAGCAGTGACTCACTGATATTAGCCAGCGATACTCTTAAATACAACAGTAGTTCCCAATGTCACTGTACAGACTGCAAACCAGCCTGCAAATCACCTTGGAAGAGCAGCACAGAAAGAAGTGCTGTTCTATCATCCTTGCTAGACGTTGAGACTAGGACAAGGAAACGCTCTCCGTTGCTCCTGGCTAACTCATGTCTAAAAGGTCAGTTAGGTTTACAAAGCAGTTTTTGTCCCTTACGTATATGACACACAAAGCATTACACAGGGCTTTGTGGTACCTTACCCTTCTCCCTTTTTAAAAAGGAGCAATGTAATGAGAAGAAAGCAAACACCTGTGTTCACCAAGATGAAGCTGACTATTCGGAATGTTGTTCTTCCCACTAACAGCAAAACCAAGGGCATTCCGGGCCCAGCTGGGCCTCTACAGACACTTCAGTGCTGATCCTCTGAGGATTTTGAAGCTGGTCTTCAAAAGTGCAGTTACCTGTCTCCATTGGAGCGCTCTCCTCTTCTTTCTTCTCCTCTATCTTGTTAGCTGCCTGTTCTTCCTCAGCTGCTATGTTATTTTGACTGCGTTCCGCTTGCTCAGCTGCTTCTTTTTCCCTTTCCTCCTGCCTCTTGCGAGCCTGTTCCTCAGCTTGAGCAATTTCAGCTGCAATTTTTTCCATATCCACTTCCACCTTCAAACTGCATAACTAGGAATTAAAAAAAAAAAAATAAAATAAAGGAACGCTCTTCTGCTACGTCCGTTACATTGAAAACCAAAACATCAGTAACATCAGTCAAACTCCATTATGAGTTCAGTATTTCTACACGCAGCATAATGATTTAATTTGACAAAGCTTATATTAAAAGCTTCAGCAACTCGGGAGGGAGCCACAAGCATATTACACACAGAAAAAAGGGGGATAAACAACCTAAACCTTCCAATTTGCAGGCAGCCAGGGGCAGAGCAGCCCGTTCCCCGCGGTGGCTTCAGGCCACCCTCCCCGAGCTGCTGTGCTGAGCCGGGCCGGTGGCGCCTGCAGGCACCGCACCGGCGCCGTGTCACCGCTCCCTGCCACTGCCGGCGCACGGACACGGCTGACACCGTGTGCCAGGACCCCCCCACCCCCCCCCAGGACCCCCCCCACCCCCCCAGGACCCGGCAGCTGTGTCATTCTACGTGACTGAGCACAGAACTGAACGGAAGTGGGCAGCGCTTGTTCAAGCGGGCAACGGGCAGATTCCTCGGAGTAAGCGGAGAAAAGCGAGAGCCGTACCCTTTTAAGCTCGTTGTTAAAGGATTCGGTGCTTTCCAAAAACTTCCTCTTCTTTTCCTGGTGACGCTCTTCAATTTGCAGAAGCTCAGCTTCTAGTTTACGCTGGAAATGAAATAAACAGTAAGAACCTTCCCGTGCAGTCATCTGAAGAACTGGACAAAGGTTACAGCTACGCACTTTAGATTAAAACATTACAATATACCCACATATAATATAGAACCTCCTTATGCCTTCCTCCATCTGAACCCAATAGCTAAGAAGTTCATATTGCAAAGTGTGAACAGGAAATGGGGCTGTGCAGTAATTCAGGATTGGCTAGGCATGTTATAAATGAAAAACAGTATGTACTCGAGGTGAATCTTCCAGCATAAAATCTATACATTTTCTTTCCTATTATACAGCCCACAGGTATATGTACACATCAATTACACCCTCAGTGCAGAGAGACCACAGTTCAAAGGAAAGAAGGGATACTACCCCCCCTCCACCCTCCAAATCTTCTTTTGTTAATTAAAAAAAGCCACGAATCTCTAATTCTGGTGCCTCGGGCTTTTCACCTACAGGTACACTGACCACAGTGCCAGGGTTCTTTAGTTAACATACACGTTTTCAGAATACAGGCTGGTGCCCAGTCAAAGGCAGGTGAAACGTGCAAGTTTGACCTCACTAGATTTGCTCGCATACATTTAACTTTCAAAGAAAAATGTTACAATAGGGAGGATTTGCTGTAATTATTACATTACAAACAAGATTGTGAGTCATAAGCTACCCAAAAGTCACAATTCCACCAGTACCTATTAAACTGAAGACTTACACTACATACAGAAGGGTTATGTATAAAGAGCAGCTATGGAATTAATACTTAATACAGTGTTTGACATGATTCTCAGTAACAAAACAGCACCCAAGGTGAAGTCTCACATCTTGCAGCTCCCAGAAAAAGCAAAGATTAGTTGTTTGAGCCCACAGAACATTGACACCCAACAAGAACAGTCATGCAGATGATCAAATAATCCCAAGACTTGGAGTGCAGCCCAACAGCATTATGTTTTAGCTGCCTTCATGTCATTTATCGTTACCTGATGAACCATCAAAGACTGAACCTGGCGCTTCAGAACTTGCATTCTGGCTGTAGTGACAACAGAGCGGACGTCGGGCACCACGCTTTCACTCAGAATCTCACTGATGAGACGATGGTTTCTCTGGAAACGAGCCGTGGCTGTGTGCTTCATAGAAAATCCATCGTCGTAATCTGAAACAAGAGTTTTAGGTGCTACTGCTTTAATTCCACAAAACGAGTACCAAGGCTAATGGCACTGTACCCACATTATCGCTAATTAAAAAGCCCTCTAACACCAGCTGCTGTCATGTCAACGTTCATACTAACACCTACAGAACATCAGGTAAGCAGAAAAGACAAGGTGAGGACAGAGCAGTATTTACGCTGGCCCAGCTCTAACACCTGCGATGTCACATGCATTTCCCACACGTCTGAAATTTGGCCTAACCTGGTTATTTACTGTGTCGCTGTCTGTGTTTCCAGACTATTAATACACCAATAAAAACCATTCCTGATTAATCATGTTACCAGAACAATATCCAGGGCAAAATACCAACAGGAGTGTGACTCCTCTATAAATGAGCTTTGTAGCACAGATTATAAAGACTTATTTTTCTGAAACACTGAGGAATGAAAGCACGAAGCAGTGATACATGCTTACTCATCGCTGAAAATTCAAAGTAACGTATTAAGAGTATTCAACTATTTTACTAAATGCAGTTCTCTGAAGAACAGTTACTGAAAAAAAAATACTTCAGGAGAAAAAGTACACAGGTATAGAGGTCTAGTGCTGGTCTCCTTGTAAGCTAGCAGGAACTAAACTGTCTTGGTTGGCATGCACCTACAGGATTAACTACAACGATCTAAGAATATTTCAGGTCAAGGACTTTATTTTTCTCTCTGAAAGAGAGCTTCTAATTTATGGCAAGATACTGAACTTTAACAATTTTAATCTAGTCACAGAATTTAACATCAACTACAGTATTACGGATTGTACTAGGCACTCATTTTAAAAGTAAAATTCAGTTTGATGCTACGAAGCAGAACAAAAAAGTATGTGTTTATGTTTCCTATATCTCGCAGCACTCAAAAGCTTCCAGCCCCCAGACAACAGAAGTCCTCCTTTCTGTATTTCTTCAAGGGAAGCTGGCAAAGCCTTTCAACATACTACATTTCAAAACAGAGTCTGCAGTTCTGGTATCAAGAACCTACCTATAAAACAGACTCAAATAAATTCAAGTAAAACTAATTAGAATTTAAAGCACGGTAATTAAGTAGCATTAAGTATAGGTGAGGAAACAAACCTAGAAGAAACTCTTGTAATTCTTGAGTAATAAAGTTATGCAAAAAGTATGAATTATCTTCCAGAATTATGTCATGTAGAAAAGTCCAGAAGTTGAATTTATTTTACATCATTTTTCTACTGGAGATAACTCTTCACCTATTCACAGAAATCTTGAGAATCCTAACATATAATTCCAGAAAATATTACCAAATATAACTAGTTTAATGAAGGTTTCTGTCTCCTTTATTTCAATGTGTTATATTCAATTTCTTATTGAGGTATCTGATTAAATGAAGCAAAAAGCAAAATAGTGGGAAGATAACAGATTTGCAGGAGGCAAATAAGTTATTAAACAAATTGGTCTCAAAGTTGTGCCTTTGTCCTCTGAATAAGATCCCTTTTATGCGAAAAGTTCTTGATCCTAGTGACATGTAGGATTGGACAGAAGCAACATTTCTGTCTCAGAAAATAACTTGCTGGTTTGTACCAGATGTAAACAGACACAACGTGGGGCCTCGTGCAGCCGGTTCTGGCTGAGTTCATTCGGTGCAGGTAGCACAGAACAGAATCTGAAGGCCCCAAATGCCAGCTACTCCAACCCTAAATACAATTACATAAATTCTTGAGTAACCTCACACTGGGGAAAGTGCTGTTTGCCATAAGCTTTATCTCAGGGGTGTGCTTTTACAAGGGGGAAAGAAAAAAAAGAAAAGGGTGTAACTGACTGAATACATTTTTTCACCCTCAGGTTTCAACAAGCATTTGGTCATGAAAAGTAGACATTAGGTGTATGAGTGAGTTTTCCCACTGGGTGGGGTGTATTTCCTTGCAGTCAAATGAACTTTCAGAATTTTCTCATCAACTTGTCAACAGCAAGGGTAACTTCTTTTCTAAACAATCTCAAATGACTGCTGTTGAACGCATTCAAAGTTCAGGTGCTCTTAAATCATACCAGAACTCTGCCCATCAGAATTATGTGCTCCTGGTAATAAAGCACAGGATTCTATTCAAGCTGGACTGAATCAGGCATCCAAGCCTTTTATAATGCGTATGTTAAAGCCATTACAGAGCTCTAAGCAGACTTACTCGTTCGGAACTGTAAGCATTACTTCACGCATAATTAAGGGTTGGAATAACTTTTGCCACTGGCTTGCCACCTTAGTTTTTGGAAGCAAGGCGAAGTCGGCTGTTCGCTGTATGAAATAAAACGTGATAATGGCAATCAGCATTAGAGGTACCAAACCAGAAAGGAGTCACGTTAAGCACTGGGGAGGCTGCGCTCCGGCAGTTTGCTGTCTCTGGCATCCAATCCTTTATGCTGTCGGCCTGCAGTGAGCCCGTCTCACCGGACGGGCATACAGATCCTTTGTGCTTACCATCTGGGTCTTCTGCTGGCTGTATACTCATGTAAGGTTCCCCCTTCTCCATGCGTGACTGCCTTTGCCGGCTTTCCTCTTCCAGCGCAGCCTCAGCACGACTTTTTGCGTTGATGTAGGCAAGGTACGCAGGAGAGTTATGGTAGGCCTTCATGGACTCATTGTACTCTATCTGAAACGTGACCAATATCGTTTGATTGCACCATTGGACGATTTCAGACTTGACATAACTGTAGTCTGTCACTCAAACTGTAGTTACACAGACAAAGCTAGTGTGAATCATCTGGCTGACACACAAGCGACCATATTCTCAGTCTTTCTTTTCACAAATTAAAACTTCTTCCACAGTCATTCATGTTTTAAAAACCCTATCTGGGCTTTTAGGTACATTTCAGTTTTAATACCTGACAAGTTTTTTACGATAGCTTTGTTTTTTGAGATTTAAAAATCAAACACCTCAGAACAAGGCATTTATAATCTGACAAACTCTGGTAAGATTAAGAAAAAAAAAAAAAGAGTTAATTTAAAATGTTCTCAGTGATATTCTGGAATTCTAACTAGCTCTTTGATTCTGATTTATTCTCTTATCCTTATTCCAGTATGTCATGAACCAGTTTTCAAAGTAACTTATGATTTTTCCATTCTTTGATCCATCCCTGCACTGGGATGATACAGAATGTTGCAGCCAGACTACTGTCTCCTCCTGGTAGCAAGACTGCATCACTATTTTCACCTCCTTTGAAGTATTTTTCCTTTTGAATTGCTTTCTTTAATCTCACTTTTAAAATCTGCCAAGTCTAGATTTTGTACAGTGACTTGAGATATTTCTAATGAAAAATGAGATATAATCTACAATATTGTTAGAAGTACCTAAGTACCTAAATGTCTTGTTTTCTTTTATGAATAGGATTGGAATCCATCTATCTAGGCACTGGAAAAATATAAACAAGATGGCCCCTGCCCCAAGGAGCTTACAATCTAAACATCATTACCAAGTTAAAAATATAGAATTCCTTGATTTTTTTTCCAACTAAGAGCATCCAACTTTGAAGGACTTCTCTATGGACTTGGAATAAAAACATCTTAGATTTGACCAGGTTATACACAGCCTCAGATGCCTGCCAGGTTTAAGTACAACACAGCAGCTGGACAAGTTTCCCTTTTGCACCTTAGGATCACAGTAACAGTCTTGTAAAGGTCCTCAGCACTTACCAACCTAGACATGAGGTAGCTGTCATTTTTTGTCATTACGATCAATAAAAACAAAACCACAAGAAAATCCTAAAAGTGGTAGCATTGGTCTATTAAAAACAAAACACTATGTCATAGCGTGGAGTTACACCAGATTACACCACGAAAACCAAACCCTACGTGACTGGACGTCTTTTACGAACACGTTCATGACAACAGAAGTAGTTGCAGAGCACCAGTTTTGAAAGAGGATTTTGGTGTTGAGACAATCTTTTCAATACTGATGTTGTACAATCAAATCCATTCATTAAACAGTTAAAATCGACACTCAATTATAAATACTTCATTTTGAATTAGGTCTAAAAACTGACCAGTCACAGTTGATGTACAGTTATTAAAAAAAAATCTAAAAGACGTGTCAGGACATACTTCCATTTAAGTTACATACAGGGGTCTCGTGAATGCCTCATACACCACTGCATGGGTAAGATGAATTTTTCTTCTCAGACCAGTTCCTAGAAGAATCAGCTGTAATAAACATCCCAGATTTCTTCCATTTACCTTTTCAGCTTCATATTCATTCAAATACTCTTGCTTCTCTTCATCAGTGAGATCTCGCCACATTCCTCCAATAATCTTGCCAATTTCCCATAACTTCAAATCAGGATTGGACGCCTTCACTTGGTCCCAGACCTTAACAGAAACAGCTGGAGCTTTACTAATGATATCTAAATACTTCCAAATTAAACATTTTATATTGTCATCTCAGTGTTCTTTCTGGAATCACCATGAAAAACAGGATTAAGTTAGGAATGAGTTTGGCTAAACTATCTCGATTATTTTCTGGGGCAGGAAGTCAGTAGGAAGCCATCTACCGAAACAGGGAATTGCTGAAATTGCTTTGGTTTCATGAGAATATTGCCTTTAACCCTCTTAATTCTCTTCTTAAATGCACATCGCTGCATCTCTGGGAAAAAAAAACGCTACCGAGTAAACACATCCAGCAGTAGATTATGATAAAGAGCACTGAGCTTTTCAGATCAGAATGGAACATTTCAAAATATTTTTCAGTCTTGCTGATCAATTTGAGTTCCAACAAGTTCTGACTCCACCAAAAATGTTTCTAACTTTATAGGGAAAAAAAAAAAAAAAGAAAAAGGAGAGAGCTGCCAGTGTTATTTCTTGCTGCGCCACTTGACTCTTTTTATTTTTTGTTGATGGTTTTTTGCCTAAGACAGACATGCTGGTAAAGATACTTTACCAGAAGTGGAAGAAATTCCTTCTGGCTCTCCCGCTTCAGACAGGCTGACATGCCCTCCCCATGCCCCATCAGATTTCAGACTCCACAAGAGTCTCTCTCCTACTTTCTGTCAAACAGTTCAGAGAACAGCGAAGCAAACGTTGCCACAGGCTAGGTTGGTGAAGGAGAACATGCAAAGTCCACTCATTGCTACTCTTCAGTCCAGCTACAGCACTGTACCAAGCCCAGTTTACCGCAAGGAATATTTCCTTTATATAAAAAAGTTCTGTCAGTAAGTCACAGGAACTTCTGAATGTGGCAGTGTGGATCCTTGTCAGCAGAGACAGTGGTAGTAATTATCATTTTAGAGAAAACCTTTCCCCCCAGAAATTGGCAACTGTATGAACAGACTACTGCTGCCTTTATTCTGAAGGGCAACGCATCTGTACTTTACAATTCCCTCAAAAGAACGTGCAGGCTGTTAGAAGTAAAAGTTTAGAAGCTGAAACTAAGATAATAAGCAATTAATTGTTAGCACATACAAACACTAATTTTTATTATTACTTGTTTGACACTATATACCCACCTTCCGGCTGTACCTCATGTAGGGCATCAGGGGCTTGTCTGGGGGTTTGGGGGGCTTTGGAATGGTAATACCAGAGGAAGCCTATAAGAGAACCGAATAAATCCATTTGTTAATGTGAATGCTGGACAGTTTCCACACACGCTAGTTTTGGAAAACACTCACTCTTGTGCAGTTAACACAAACCACACACCCCCCCACCAAGAGAAGCAAGGAACGTCACCAAAATTATTACCCAAACTGTGAACACAGTCCTCACAGTAATATTTTTCCAGTTTAAGTTTGTCCTTTTATCTGTAACTTTAGAGTAACTAGATACATCTTCAAAAGGGCTCCATATTCTTAAATCTGAAATACACAGCTTCGAAATTCACATGGCAACACCAATCCCAGGAGGTTGTTTTTCTGACTTCTGACGAGCAATTTATTTTACCTGTTTTGAGAAATTTAAAGTGGCTACTGCACCCGTGAAAAAAGATGCGGAAAAAGTTTAAGATCACGAAGTTAGAAACATATTTTCATTTTTAATCATTTTAGCAATGTATTTGTCTGCAAAATTTTTCAGTGGTAATTTGGAGCCAATTAAACTACTCCTTGTAAAAGGAAAACAACCCTATGCAGCTGAGCTGTCAATGTCTGTATTATTTGTACCCAAGCTGTATTTCATTGTCCACACTAGCCTGCAATATCTTTCTGTGCTCTCACCTTCCTTTAGGTTTGTACACAGTCAAGCACATTGCTCGCGCTAAACAAAAGGACACTGAGCACTAACTGGTGCTGACAGAAATCTGCTGCGTCCCCTCTCGTCCCCTCAATCTACAGGACACCTGACAGGGTTTTCTCCTAAAATAGCGCAGTAACATTACAGTCGCTGTCAACTGCAGGTTCTGAAAACCTCCACTTGTCAATATATATTTTTCATCTTCAATATACATTTTTCATAAAAATATAAAGCAGTTTCAAGATTTCAGGACTACGGCCATAGAGAAGCAGATACTTGTAGTTGGCCGAGAAGGCTCACATTCCGTAATCAGCTTTCAAATTTTTCCTCTTGATATTTTTTGTTTTGCTGAATTTATGGAGCTCTATGAAACAATGCATACAGAATTGTGTATAAATAATGTACATGAGGTATATGCATTACCAAAATGTATACATATATACACATACAGATGGATTTGAAAAACATTAACGGAACTTGTTTAATGCTTTTAAATTAACAGGAATCTAAAGACACCATACATATATTGATATATGCATGGCAGAGAAGGCTGTATATGCTTATGACATACAGAAACAATGAAAGTTCTCACACAAAACCTAACTTATGCTTGTATAAGGAAAAAAGTGTATGTTCAAATAGTATGTTCACTCAAGTTCCAGCTTGTATGCGGAAGGTCTTTTCTGTAAATGTTTTAACAAATCCGATGAACTTCATATATGAAGTCTGAAAGAAGGTTTATAGAAGAGAGGCATAAAAAAAGCACACTCATTAAAAGCACCATATATTTGTTCCTTGAGAAATCTTTATATCACCTTCCAAACTAATCAAACGTTTTGAGGTAGAAAGTTTTACATGAAAAACCTTAAAGTTATGAGAATTACAGAAACTTGAAAAAAAAATCAGGAATTTGTTCTATTTCGGTTGTGTTAGTTCTGAAAATGTTACACTTGCACAGTCTGTTTCCTAACTGCATTCAATACTCAGGGTTTTATCTGTACTTGAAAGAAGCCGTCCCCTCTCTCAACATGTGATTCCATCTCACGTTTACTCCATGAAAAATGAATGCAACATCCATTTTCCACGCACTGACAAAGTACAAAAGATCTGTAAAGACTATTTTATTATCACACTTCTGTTGAAAAAATAATTTCTGAACTTGGGACTTCGCAGTTATTACCAGACTAAGACTGGAAAGAAAAATCAAGGCTTGCATCTCTTGCATGGCTCAATGGTATGATGCAACTACTATCAAATGATCTCCAGTTTGCAAAATGTTGTTATTATTTTTGTGCCAATAAACCTCAATAAAATGAGCAGTTCCCTCCCTCCAAGAATTTTTACCCATGCTGCAGAACTCCTCCCTAAGCATGCAGTGGTCAGTGAAGACCACGAAGTCTGTCTTTTTGGAGTTCTGCATCATACACGATTACCACATTTTTTTCTCTGCTGAGTAGATTCCATTTTCCTGCAAAAGGTTTCAGAGTGAAAGGGAAGGGGGGTAGGGGTGGGGAATAAGAATCAGAAGTAATTTTTTGTTTTTATAAAGAAGCGGCAGCAGCCAAGACTCGGAAGAACCTAACTCTAAAGCCATTTCTGGTCAATTCCTGTTGTTTGCCGGATGATGTAATAGTTGATTCTCCTACCGTGACCCGGCTGTTGGTGCCCGGGTTCCCTCCCAGCCTGTAGTTGTTGTAGGCCAGATGGCTGTATGGATTGTATCCCACAAACCCTGGTGTGCTGGGCATTTGCTGATGGAAACAAATGAGACAAAAACACGAATGAGAAATGAGCTCAAACGAGGAAAACACAGAAATGAAAGTGAACTGCAATATGGCATGCAAAAGCAACCAGAATTTAAACAAGCAAATGAGGTGTAGCAGTTGGTATCTTCTCAACACAAAACTTACTCTGGTATAAACCTATTAAGGAAACAGGATTTTTAAGCAAATGTGTCACTACAAATTTCTGTCTGAAGTTGGTGATTTTATTTCTATTAAGTAACTCATTTAAACAAGTATTCTGTAAATCCAGCTCATACCTAATAAAATTTTCTAACATAAGCCACGAAGTAATTCAGAAATACTCTTATATCCAAAGGGTTAAGCTTACAAGGCAACAGAGTACATAGTAATTGGGTAGAAATCCCCAGTATTAACATTTACTACACCAATGAAAATACTTGTCTGCTTTTCCTCCCATCATTCTGCCTTTCCAACAAACATTATACTGGCAATAAACAGGGGTAAAAAAAATAATCTCTCAAAGCACCATCTGTGCACCATTACCAGTATCTGAATACTTTCCTGGTGGTTTGCAAGATTTAAATATTTTAGGGAACTGGGATTAGAAAGCTGAGAAAGAAAACAATTCACAGAGATTTCCTTCTGTAGTGAGGTAGGCTGCAGACTGACAGAGCTGAGGAACCACTGCAATAAGATCGACATGTTAGAAACTACAAACTAGTCTTTACGGATCACTGAATCCAAGACAATTTAAGTTAATCAATACATCTTCATTCATTCTTGGAAGTGCATCGATTTATTCTCACCTCATTAAAGTCTGATCATTAAAGTCTGATTTCTTTACAATCCGTACTTACCCATCATCTACACACAATCAAGTATCAGAAGGTTCATTGTATTCCCCTCTTCGCATAAATCTTTCTCCTGCCTTTTTCTATTATCCCCCACTTCCCAACCAAATTTTGTTGGAAAAAAAAAGGATCAACTATTTATAATTGCGACCAATTCCTGTCTGATGTGGTCTCATCATTCCACTAGGATTCACAATATCCTGTAGCAGTCACGATACCCTGTAGTGTTTCTAGACATTTAAGTGTCATCCGCAGTGTCCCACTCCTTAGTGGCACTTTGGCCCTTATAAGAAACACATATTCCAATAGTCTTTTGAAGTGATTTGCTGGCTGAACCTGTTCCAGACTACAATTACAAAAATTCTACAAGTAGGTTCAAGACTCTAAGAACCAAGGTATGACAAACACTGACAAAAATAACCTATGAGCTAAACTACATTATCTTGTGAAGTTTCAAGTACATGTAGACACACTGTAATTAGTTTATTTCTAAACATGCAAATACAGAGTAAAATTATCCTTTAAGTCAGCCTTCAAATATATATTTTATTGCAAAACTTTAACTCAGTCACAGCAGTTGACATTTACTCAATTTGTATGCCTGTGATGACATACACATTCACTATTTGATAAGATGCCATTTTACTATATTTTCTGTATTAGCATAATAACAGGTTTTGAGTATGTTGAACTACACCTCTTCAATAAAATCAGATGACTATTGTAATCTCCGTCTGATTAATTCTTTATTTCTGCAAGACAGGATTTAAATGTTACAAGGGAACTACCTTGCATTACATGCAGAATTTTTACTTCAGCTGTAATACTGTAGTTATGAGAACTACCGGTATTTTGTTGACTGTAGTAGCTGGAACTAGCTGTGGAAGAGCAAGCAAGGTTATTTGTCTGCTTTTATGAGTTGCATTAACAGAGCACCGATTATCATCTCAAGGACTGTATAAGTAACACAGAAGATGCTTGACAGTTGCAGTTTCAGAAGGGTGCATGAAACAAATTCTGAAGATGTTTAACTTGACTAAAGAATGTACCACATCAACATACACCATTTAACAACATCTGTACCCACGCTACGTCCCAAAGGAGCCACACAGGTATATGCACAGCTCTCGATGCAGGAATCCCGTTGTAAGAGCGGATGCCATCATGTTCCTTCTAATACTGGCACAAATCTATTAAGTTGTGTGCAAAATGAAAACTCTGAACCAACTACGCAAATTAAGTTTTATTTATGGAAATTCATAAGAACATAAATTATACATGATATAATTTTTAAGCCTCTTTAAATGTAAACTATGGCACAATAAATGTGAAGGATCCCGTTTCATCTAAATCCCATCCTGCAGTTTTCATCCCAGATGCAGAGATCAGGGATACTGTACTGGATAACAGCTTTCAAATTTTCTTTGGTAAAAAAATTTTCACTATAGCACCTCTGCTCATTTTTCTGTACAAAAGATTTGTATTTTCTCACATTAATATGTTGCTCCTAAAATGCAAGCTATTTAGAAATGTGAATGCTAGAGAAGAGGTGCATTTGCTTTCAAATGCTTTCCTGACCACAGCATACTGGTATTTCAGTACCTCTTTACACATGCATGAATGCAACTGGACTTGATTCAAAGCTACTGTTCATGTTTTCCTCAGTCTCATTCCATACCACTTTACTAGAAAGTAAAGTATTTCTCATGCCAAAATACCGGTGATTTCAAGAAATTTGAGGAAGACTGGTATCACGAGTGTTTTATTATTCTCACCCAATACAACAGAATTTTGTGTACACCTGCATGCCACTGAAAAACAGTCTAGGTATAACAGAAACGTCAAAGAAATGCACTGTTTGCCCATGATTTGGGCACAAGTTGAGTGGGAAGTTTTAGAGTTAAATATACCAGTTTGTTCTTAAATATTCCAGTATACTGTTGCAAACCACTGTGAATAACTTTAGACCAGCTGACTGCTTACAGAAAATCAAGTATCTGCAGGATCTAGCCTTAGAGGCAAAGCAGCAAACTTATTCAGCTTCTTTCACAAACTGTTTGAAAAAGCGAGATTAATTTAAACAATGCATATCATATTACTAATGGAATACAACTACTTTGTGTTTCCAATACAGGAAGGTGACGCAGCTCCATCGTTATCGCTCTGGTAAGTTATTAAAGGTTATATTACCAGCTCTGTATTAGTGAGAAAAATCATTATACTTACGGTTGCAGGAGCAGGGGTAGGAGGTGGGGCATAAGATGGCCTTTCTGTTAAGATATAAATGTAAGCAAGTTTTTTTTTTTTTTGAGAATTTAAATGTATTCCTTATAAGGCATCTGCTGAGCCAAATATTTGAGTGGTTTACAAAAACAAGGCAGAAATCCTACTCTCAAAGACTTTGCATTTTGACACTGATGAGTGTAAAGCAAAGAACACGAAAGAAAGAAAAAATTTAAGACCACGCCATTGCTATATGGCTAGCCTTTTATTTAGGCATAAGATTGAAGAATATGAAATCCATTTATATGCACATCTATTAAAAAGAATATAAGCAAAAATGCAGTGAAACAAGATTTAGGACAAGCTGTGATACCTGGATTTCCTACGAAAACAATATGCCAGAAATCAGCCACAGCAAGATTTAAGGCCAAGAGTTTGGCCAGAAATTACTACAATTCATATCATTCCTTTTAACCTAAGGAATAATAATTATCTCACAAACAGGTTCTGCTGAACCAGATCTTTAATTCATCAAGTTAAAGGAAAAAAAAATCTGAACTTACTTGACATTTTGATAGGCAAATTTTCAGCCACCTGACATTACATTTGTACTTCTGAAAGACAAAAAAATATCAAGCTATTAAGTATTATGCCTTTGCTTCCCCAAATCATTGAAACTTCAATCGTTAGTTACCGTTACCAAAAAGTTTGCTGGTTTTTAAATAAATACAAAAGAGTTTCTAAAAACTAAGTTGTTATCTCTTTGAAAAATGAATGGACTTTCCAAGGGATCTGGCCTTAAACAGCTGTAAAGTAACACTCAGGTTTGCATCATCTTCATATTAAAGGTTGTAAGTACATATATTTTTCCCCCCTTAAGAAATAAGAATAACATATCCCATTATTTTACGCTGTTTCAGAAAACTGGTATTAAAGCATAGATTAAAAAATTAAATAGTATCTCATTTACACGGTACAAGAAAAGTCATCACGGCACACGACGGAAGCTGTATCGCAGGACCACCGTCCACCCTTTAGCCACAAGCCCATCAGCGTGTGTGGAAAAAGCGCTGTAACAAAGCAGTATTTTTTTCGGCCTTTCTCTTCCACTAACTCCACCGGAGCCGCACCAGAAGCCGGACCTCCTTTTGAAATTCCTGACTGATAACGTGCTCAGCTTCGGACCCGCAGCAGCTCTCCCACACGGGCCCCGCTCCCCAGACTCCGCCGGAGCGCGGCCGGGGGGACCCCCAGCCCCGCCATCCCGCCCCCCCGCCCCCCCCAGGAACACGCTGCCCGCTCCGGGGGGGACACCACCCCACCCCCCCCAGCTCCGCGCAGCGGGGACCGAGCGCACCTCCACCCGGCGGCCCCCCCTCCGCCCCAGCGGCCGCCTGACGGGCCCGGGCCCTCGCCCCCCCGCTCCGCCGCGGCTGCGCCCCCGGGCCCGCCCGCCCCGACTCACCCGCTCCGCCGCCGGCCGCGCTCCCTTTGTTCCCCACCAGGCCGGGGGGGGGGGGGCGGCGGCAACAGCGCCTGCGCGCTCCCCTCCGCACTTTCGACACGCCGCCACCCCCCCCCCCCCCCCCCAGCCTGCCGCCGGCCTCTCTGCTTTTTAACTGGGGAGGGGGTGGGGGGCGGTTTAGCCTCCCCGGCTCCTCCCGGAGCCCCCGCCGGGCCGAAGCCTTCGCCGGAGGCCGGGAGGGGTTGTGTCGAATCTGCGGGACGCAGAGCGCAATGGCGGTCCGGGTGCGGCCCCGCCGCTGCCGGGAAGGAGGCGCCGCCTCGCCCGGTGCGGAGAGGGTGTTACCGGTGCTCCCGAGGCATCGTGCGGCCCGGGCTGCCCTCACCCCGGCCTCGCAGCACCGGGTTCGCCTCCTTCGCCCCGGGACGGCAAGGGGAAGGGGCGGGCGGGAAGCTGCCCGCCTGCCCGTTTCTGTCAGCACTTTCCACAGGGAGCCTCTCCCGCTTCCCGCCCTTCCGCCGGGCGGCCCCGGCCGCTCTCAGCCTGTCCGCAGGGCCCGGCGGGGAGGAGCGGCCGCGCTGCCTCCGGTGGCGAATCTGCGGCGGAGAACAAAGGGCGGGGGGAGAGCGGGTTTGACCGTTGGCGTCTCGCGCCCGCGGGCGTTTGGCGCCTTTTTCCCCTGAGGGGGAGCGCGCGGTGGGCCCTGAGGGGCCGGGCCCCGGTCAGCCTCAGGCGGGCAGTCGTGGCGCTGCCGGAGCGCGCAGCGGCGTGCGGAAATGGCGGCTGGGGAAGGGCAGCTCTCCCGCCCGACGTTGAAGGGGAGCAGGACGGGGCCCTCAGCCTGGTCGGGTTTGCCGTGCTGGTGTGGGGGGCGGCCCTGGGGCGGCGGGGCAGCCGGGCTGTGCCGGAGACCCTGGCTTATACCGCCGTGTAGGCTGACATTTCAAACTAAAGCAGGCTGACCGACTCAAACACGTACCACAGAGGATTGTGAATTACGAGAGTGCGCTGGGAGCAGTGGAATTGTCTAGAAAGTTGCAGAAATTTGCGAAGGTGTCATACATGGAGGTAAAAAGCGTGCAGATACAATAAACCACAGTACACGTGTGGCTCTGAGCGTCTGAGGAAGATGGAGAATTTCAGACCTCAGCATTCAGTGTAGGAGTCTTTTATACAGTGGAAAGTGTTACAGTGACTGAATTAAAAAAGAAAATGTAAAGTTTGGCATTGAGATGCTGTCATATGGCTCATAAGGTAAATTTCTAGACATCCACAAAGGAGGATTTTGGTGGATCTGGTGACTGGCCGCTGAAGGAAAGCCTAACAGTCAATGATCGTGACAGGATAGTGGAAAATCTTTGATTTTTTGAGCAGAAAAAGATACATGATACCTACCTATCCCCAAAAGGATGGTAGAAGGGGAAAAGAAGAAAAACTAATTGAATATGAGGCTGGGTTGCTGCAAGTTAAACCCATTTTTTCTTGATGTCTACAGTTTGTCTAGCCCAGTTTGATTTTGCTCTCAAATAAGCACATTTTTCTGAACAAATAAAAGAGACAAGAACCCTGCCCTCATCTGCCTGCGGTGTGCTATCTGTGGCCACAGTGGAAAATTGTTGACATGCAGCACCAAAATCTGTGACTTCCATTTGGTAATTAAAAGAATGTAAGAATTGAAAAGATTCCTCAGTCTGCCAGCCGAATACACTTCTCTTTAGTCCAGTTTCACCAGGAAAGCACATTTATAAGGAAAAGGTGAGAAAACACTTGTTAAGAGGTGAAAAATAACCTGTTTTTTCCCAGTTTTGACGTCTTCATGCATTCATCTCTAGTTTATTAATAACATGATTTTGTTGATAGTGCATTTAATGCTGATGTTGATAACATTAAAATAAATTCGAACTTTGTGCAGCTTATTGGAATATTTACTAGGGTGTTCAAGTACATTTACCGATACTCACTTTCCATGCTAATAGTTTTGAATTGTTATATGTGTTTTCAAAGCCAGCAATGTATTCTTTACTTTGGTTTATGTGTGGTTGGTTGGCTGGTTGGTTTTTTACTTTACTATTTGCCTAATTTCCATGTAGTGATAGTGAAAGAATTTGCCTGTGTACATTTTTTAATATCCTGTGTGACATAAGTCATTTTACTGATTTAATAGGATTGTTTATATTGCATCATACTAACCAGGGGGTCTAAATAATTGGCTCTTATCCAACTGTTTTAATTAGCAACAGTTTCATAAGCTACGTAATGAGGACAGATATTAATTGGAAAGTAGGTTGAGACAATGAAACTAATTTTTATGCCGGACATTTGCAGGTATTAGATGGCATCAGCTCATCTGGTCTAAATTTAATTAGCAGTACAGAAGTGAAGAATTCTTTGCCATATTATCAAGCTTCAGTGTTGTGTTCTTTAACTCATCTTTAAAGTGACCTAAAATCAGGGTGAGATATTACTGTGAATACTTCTTTTTTCTGTGCTCATGTAGAGTTCACACTGACTGTAGTGGAAGTCCAAGTAGTTTATGAATGAAAGAGTAAGCTCATTCCATTTGAAGAGATGGATTTTGTGAATAATGCAAAAGATACATATGTACTGTGAGGAGAGAAAACATAGTTAAAACCAGGATGCACACTAGAACCAGGTCTAGAGTAGCAGCAAATGAAGTCAGTGTCAGGGAGTCCCACATGAAGAAAATAGCCTTGAAGAGGCAGGAGTAGGCTGCCTGCAGAATGTCATGTGTTAACAAAAAACAGCTATTAAACTGCGTTTGGTTTTTTTTTTCCCCTTAGAGCATCAGGTTTCATGATTATGAACCAGTATAACTGGCTTTATGCCAGTTGTTTCAAACTTCAGACAGGAGCTGTATATTTCGTGAGTAGTTGAGTCTGGTGTTAAACAATGGCAGCTTCTGTGGGCGGAATAAATTTCTCATCACAGGACAGCTCAGGATGAACTTGTGCTGTCATTGGGGTCAGGGAGATGGCTTCAGACACTGTGAGGTCAGGCCAGTATATGGATGAAATAACAAATATGAGTAAGGTAAACATTTTTTTCTAGTTACTTAGTATCCCAGACAATGTTTACTATAGATACACAGTAATTTTTCTCTTCTAAAACAATATGAAGGTTGTATTGCAAGGTGATGTCAGGTATGTGTTCTGTACTATGTTGGATGAGGTTTCTATCAATAGGGAAAAAAAATTTGGAGTTACGCTATAGAAAATAATACCCCAAGAAGTACCGTAGGTCAGAGAAGCCAAACACCCCTTGATTAAAGAAAAAAATGTGCCTGTGAGTAAGATAATTCCATTATTGTTCACGGTAGAGATGGTGGTACCTTCCATGTATTTGTATAGTAATTTTCATATGCCTATGCAAGCTATTCCTGCAAGAGGAAGTTTGCCTAGGCAGTTTTAATGGTATATGTAGTAAGCTAAGTTTCTGTTACATATTTGCTTGCTATTTATCTTTGCCTGTCAGCTTATCTTTTAGACTATAAACTGCATATGCCAGATGCTGTCCTCTGTTATTTCTTGTGTGCTACTCAGAACAAAGGACTTTAGATCTAGTCAGGGTTATTAGATTTACTAGAAAAAGAGTAATTTTTTTAGGAGGAGGACACACGTTACAAGTTATGATAAAGATTCTTAGGAAATTTGTGTCTTATTATAGAGGACAGCTTAGAAAACGCTTGGTTGCAACACTACAGATTCTCTTAGCTATAACTTTTATTTTGTATTTATCTGTTACTTCTTTTAAGGTAAACACATTAAAGCTCACAAAATATGCATGGGCAAACTCATTTTTCATACTTTTTTTATTGTACTACTATGATTTACTTTGGTAAATTCATATCCCTGTTTAAAGTGCCTTAAAGAAATTAAAACTTAGTTTAAATTCAAGTATTGTAAAATGTACAGAGTATAAGCACAAAAAAAGCTGCATAGTGAAAATATTAGAGCAGGCTAATACATTCAGGATGCCAAATACTCAAGTATTAACAACACCAGATCAGTATTAAGGTTAATGATAATTAGCCAGCTTCATACAGTAGATATAGAACTGTGGGCACTATAAATGCATTGTTCTTACCATTAACAAAAGATAGAAGCATAACTTAACACTGAAAGAATTTGTGGTATCAGTTTTTGTAACACATGCCATAAGTAATAAGGCAAATACTGACACTTAAATTAATCTTTACATGCTGCTGTGAATCCAGCCAATACGGTACATGTTTTTTCTAGATTCTGAGCCCCTGAAATCCCAGTGATTTCAGTGAGACTTTGTGACATCCACGCCTCTTAAAAATCCTCATAATCAATCATTCTTATCTTAATACAATTTTGTTTGAATTTTTCTTTGAAATTTGTCTCATAATGTAACAAAGAAATGTGTCTGAATTTATATTTCTGGGTTTTCTGTGTACATATGTAAGATCATCTCCTGTACTTTGTATTTGCCCATAGCTAATTTGAGTAGTAGTGGGGGATACTTCATGGGTATGGTAGAATTTTACTTTAAATATGTAGGCCTTATTTTATCCATTTAATTTGAAGGAGTAATAGTGGTACCCTGGCATAACAGTGACTTGTTATGATACTAGATCAAGAGCATAACTTACCTATAATATTTGTCATAAGAGGAATTTGTTGGAGATATTTTAATTCACATTGTTATAATAATCAAAATCAAATACCAGCACTAAAT